CTCTCCAGCAACCGGTCCCGATGGCTCCGCCGCTGGCCTGGGACTGCCTGCCCCTATGCCGAGACGCGCCTCCGCCTATGACGTGTTCGCTGGCGCACCGGGCGGCCTTCCAACCGTTGCAGGCCCGCCCATGGGTAGAAGGGCATCGTTCCGCGTTGCGCCACCCACTCCGGTCGAGCAACAGAGCCCGACCACCGAAAACGATGTGGGCGGGCTCTCGATGCCGATCATCACAGGCGCAGGGTTGGGGGGACCTGTACCGGAGATCGGCGAAAGGAGGATGTCGTGCAGGAGGGCATCACATATGTAAGTCAATGTTTCCATGTTTCTTTCTTCCTCTCTTTCTGCATTTCTTCATTTCTTCATTTTTCTTTTCATTTTTTCATTTTTTCATTTTTCATTTCTTCGTTTCTTCGTTTCTTCGTTTCTTCGTTTCTTAGTTCTCTCGTTTCTTCGTTTCTTCGTTTCTTCGTTTCTTCGTTTCTTCGTTTCTTCGTTTCTTCGTTCTTCGTTTCTCGTTTCTTCGTTTCTTCGTTTCTTCGTTTCTTCGTTTCTTCGTTCTTCGTTTCTTCGTTTCTTCGTTTCTTCGTTTCTTCGTTTCTTCGTTTCTTCGTTTCTTCGTTTCTTCTTTCTTCGTTTCTTCGTTCTTCTTTTCTTCGTTTCTTCGTTCTTTTTTCGTTTCTTCGTTTCTTCGTTTCTTCGTTCTTCGTTTCTTCGTTTCTTCGTTTCTTGTTTCTTCGTTTCTTCGTTTCTTCGTTCTTCGTTTCTTCGTTTCTTCGTTTCTTCGTTTCTTCGTTTTCTTCGTTTTCTTCGTTTCTTCTTCTTCGTTTCTTCGTTTCTTCGTTTCTTCGTTTTCGTTTCTTCGTTTCTTCGTTTCTTCGTTTCTTCGTTTCTCGTTTCTTCGTTTCTTCGTTTCTTCGTTTCTTCGTTTCTTCGTTTCTTCGTTTCTTCGTTTCTTCGTTTCTTCGTTTCTTCGTTTCTTCGTTTCTTCGTTTCTTCGATTCTTCGTTTAATTCGTTGTCGTTCGTTGTTATTAGTTTCTTAGTTCTCGTTTCTTCGTTTATTCGTTCTCGTTCTTCGTTTCTTCGTTTCTTCGTTTCTTCGTTTTTCTTCGTTTCTTCGTTCTTCGTTTCTTCGTTCTCGTTTTCTTCGTTTCTTCGTTTCCTTCGTTTTAGTTTCGTTCTTCGATTTCTTAGTTTCTTCGTTTCTTCGTTTCTGTTTCTTCGTTTCTTCGTTTCTTCGTTTTCTCGTTTCTCGTTCTCTTCGTTTCTCGTTTCTAGTTTCTTCGTTTCTTCGTTTCTTCGTTTCTTCGTTCTTCGTTTCTTCGTTCTTCGTTTCTTCGTTTCTTCGTTCTTCGTTTATCGTTTTCGCTTTCTTCGTTTCTTCGTTTCTTCGTTTTCTTCGCTTTCTTCGCTTCTCGTTCTTCGTTTCTTCGTTTCTTTCGTTTCTTCGTTTCTTCGTTTCTTCATTTCTTCATTTCTTCATTTTTTCATTTTCTTCATTTCTTCATTTCTTATTTTCTTCCTTAGCAGATTGAATATGTTCTTTAGTTAGTAGCACCATAACACCGTAAAGTAAGCATTTTCTTCTATAGGCCTCTGCCTGCTTTGGAGGATCTTGAGGCTGCTCCAAGACGTCAGGCCTCAGTGGATGCTGAAGGCATTCGAATTGTGATACATGACGTGGACTCTGGTGCAACGACAGGAGTACAAAAACGGGTTGTGCTAAAGAAGGACCCCAACGACAAAACGCACAGAAGTAAGAGTACTGCATCACTAAATACTATAGGGAATAAATTCAAAGACCCTTCGATCGTCTAGATTATAATTGGGTGATATTGTGATTCTTTGCAGCTAGAGGATTCGGTATGCGAGTGGTAGGTGGAAAAACAGCAGCTGATGGTCGACTTTTTGCCTACATTGTTTGGACTGTTCCAAGTGGACCTGCGGAAAAAGGTGGTCTCCAACAAGGTGATAAGGTAAGCGTACACAAAAGTATTAGTGAGCAAATGATTGGTTATATAAATTGGTATTATTATTATTATGTTAGCAGCTTCAGATGAGGATTGAAACTGAAGATGCTAACAAGTCTTTAACGTAAAGCTGTGATAAAGAAAAACTGTGTTACAATGACTAGCTTTAAGTTAGGTATATTCTGGCCTCAGATTGCTGATAATGATTTTTTAGGTGCTAGAGTGGGACGGTGTCAGCCTGGTGGATCGTTCCTTCGAAGAGGTGTGCGCCATCATGGATCGTACAGGTGAAACTGTTGAGTTACTGGTGGAACACGCGACCGAACTGCGAATGTGCGACATTCTGGACGACCCCATTCCCATGGCCAGCTATGCTGCTTCCAGGAAGGCCTCTGACGCCTCCGCAGTGCCTTCAAATCTGTATGTGGGTAAGTTGGACATTTACCAAACCAAATAGATATGAAAAATGCTTACAGACATTGCGAACAAAACCACAAACATAAAAACTAATGAGAAGTTCCATTTTCATCAGCATACGGCCATTAATTGGACCACCCCTAACTTTTTTATATGATCTGTAGAAAAAAAATTGTATACAAAAGTTATAGGGTCTAATATGAAGTTTCCTATGTAATATTTTTGTGTTATCGAATAAAATTGTATCTTTTTGAATGGGACTCCTTATACAGGGTGATTTCGACGTTGAGTCATTTATTTTAACAGTGAGTAGATCTGATCAAAAGAAATGCTTTTTCCTTTACCATTTTTCAACAACGGATATAATCCGCCTTATCGGTTCATCGCATCGGAAACAAAAAAGCGAAAGAATTTGGAACGATGTTTTTACAATTATTTTATTTAGTTCAGTTATACATACAGTCAGTGTCAATCGGTAACGCGTGTGAATAGTGTCTGTTGCGTGGCTCAAACGAAAAAATGGCACATGTTTATGCGGATCGGTTTCCCAATCGAGTGCAACCAACCCCTCGTGCCTTTGTTAATGTAGTACAACGGGCTCGTGAATCAGGTGACTTAAGACCTCACAGGGGACCTCACGATTAAATACATGTCCGCACTGAAATACTTGTCGGGAGGATACTTTATAAAACAAGGTAAAAAATTTTTTTTATTTTTTTTTTATTTTTACGCACATATTTTGGTTTATCTTCCTTCTACAATCATTATCTGAAAATTAATGACTCAACTTCAAAGTCACCCTGTAATTTTTCAGAAAAAATGAGCCTTTTATATATATATATATATATGGTTTGTCATACCTATTACATTCATTTGGCCAAAAACTTAAAGTTATAAATACATATATGACTAAATGACGCACGAACTTAAGTTCTTCAATAAAGTAGTGAAAATATGTATGATGAACCATACACGTTTGGAATCATAAAAAATGTTCTATCATTTTCACTGAAAATATACAGAATTTAAGAAATACAACTTTATCCGATAACATTTTTCTGAGGCATCCAGTATACAGAGAAAATATTACAAGGAAAACGTCGTACTATATAGATTCTATAACTTTTATATACAACTATTTCCTCTAGAAGGTCATATAACAAAAGTTAAAGAGAAGGTCAATTAATAGAGGTACACCCTGTACAGTTTAGAAGTACTAGAATCCCAATCAATTGCATCATTACATTTGAAGAGAGGAGTAGATTCAGCATACCGAAAGGTGAAAAAAAGATAGACATAGGTTTAGGGATGCTTCGTTTTAAACTTCTCTGACTTTCATAGTTCACCTTACATTTCTCGAAAACAGATTGAAATATTGAGATGAATTTTAGTACACGCAAATGTATTGTCACTGTAAAAAAATGTTGTTTAGAAGCTTATTAAGTCCACATCAACTCTACTTGAAAACATCCTCCTGGACTTTTCCGCTCACACTCGTCGCTTTCGAAATGATAAATGTTTTTTATTTAGTACATGAATCAGTTTAACGTTATTTAGGAATGGTGATCGGGCTGTCACCTTATTTAACAACTATAATGGAAAATTCCAGAGACATTTTTCGAACAAAATCAATGTGATTTGAAGAATATGTCTCTTATTTTTGCAAAAAAACACCGGCATACAACTGATCATTGAGTTAAAATATTCTACCACTGAAAATCAAATACAACTTTTCTTTACGACGCCAGCAAAATTTGAAACTCACCATATTTTATTATTTTTTATATTGGTTCATTTTAGATCCAGATAACGAAAATGGACCTACGTCACCTACTAGACGAAAACTACCTAAAACACCAGTAAGTAGTATGTCTTCTATCGTTTACATCTCGATTATTATTGTGAATTATAAAAATTGACCCTGTCCAAATAAAACCTATGAGGCTTCAAAACTATGCAAATTTACAGGATCTATGCTTTAGATATATTAAATACAAGCAAGTTTGCAACATTTGCTTCATCTCTAACGTGTACCATGCTGGAATACAGGGCAAACCGGAAAGGTATTAGTGGAGAGCCATTAGAAGTAAAAACGGAATTTAAACACGCTCAAAATAAAGTACAGGCTTTTATTAAATAGTATTTGATTTTTAAATTCAAACACCGTTTAATATATTTATTCAATTTATAAAATTCAAATACTACCGTTTGAAATACAGATTTGGTGGTTACCTTACTATGTATATAGATGAAAATCTCTACTATGGTAGGTATAATAATAACTATTTAGTTCTGTGATGTCTTCTAAATGGGGTGGTAATAAATGATTTTATAATGTGAATATAAAAATAAGAACCGTATAACATATTTTTTTACATTCAACCACTAATGTTCTTGTAATATACTCACAAACTTAGCATATTTGTTTTATTTACAATGATTCTTTTAGCATTATTTTGTAGATTATGTGATTTCGAAAATGTTTTCATTTGCTCTAAACAAAATGGTTGGACAATATAAAAGATGGGGAAAAATTATAGTGGTATACGCATCTTTTTAGGATGCATACGAGGGATGTCTTTTAAGTTTTGCATATGGAAATAAAACAACACGGTAGGTAGTTTTAAATGACTTTATTGTTTTTCGAAGTAGTTTAATACACATCTGCATGCGCTCGAACCAATTTTCGAAACACTTATTCCACTCGTTTGCTGGCAGATCCAAAACGGCATTTTTGAATGCGTCAACTGCTTCTTTTGGTGACTGGAACCTTTGACCACGCAGTCTGTTTTTAATTTTCGGGAAAGTAAACAAATCGTTAGGACTTAGATCGGGACTATATGGAGGTTGGTCCAATAATTCCACGTTTTCTTCCGTTAAATACTGCCTTGTTTTTTGGGCTATGTGTGAGCTTGCATTGTCTTGGTGGAGGATGATTCTTCTTTCAGCAAGGCATTCTTGTTGCGATAATTGTCTCTGAAAGTTGTAATAAATTATGGCGCGAAAATGTTCTCGGTTGAGTTCCATTTTTCTAATGACTTGGTGACGCTTAAAAATTCACTGTAGTGAGAACGCTGCACGTATTGTTTACTTTCCACGAATATACCTTTGTATTTGAATGATTCGATTACTTCAGTTATTTCATCATTAATCATGAGCCTAATTGTATTATCACCTAAATGTTTTCCTATTGACATACATTTTGTTTTATTAGTGCTTAATTTTGGCTTACTTTTTTTTATATCGAAACTGACATTAAACGAATTTTTTTTTTGTAGTACTTCAGAATATCAGAGATCTCATTTATATATATATAATGAATAGTAACGGCCCTAATTTACTCCCCTGTGGCACACCTACTGATATATTTTAAACGCTTGACATGATATTAAAGTCTATAAGCGAGAAAATTTAGTCACTGAGTTGCATCTCAATGCATCAATTCAGAAATTTGATCTTTACGAACAAATTTCAGGAACAGATGGCAGCTGCTCAAGCTGCAAGCAGGGAACAGCAACAGCAACAGCTGCTTCATCAGCAACAACCCCAAGGGATCACAGGCCGGATACAGATCCAAGTGTGGTACCACGATGAACGAAAGGAGTTGGTTGTAGCTGTTCTGGCAGCCGACGACCTTGCGCCCAGAGATGAGACGGTAGGCTTCGGAAGCCTGCCTGAAGCCTACGCCAGGCTCTCTTTAGTGCCAAAAACGTAAATAGCATTTAATCATCAAATAACTTCACATCACTGTTTACTTTATTCCACAATATCAGCACAGATGTCATTCAAGGATCGATTCTCGTCCAAGCATCATCCAAATCGGAAGGTTTATCAGCAAATTTCAATACGAGTACATTGGTGGTCCCAGAATTCAGCTTCAGCAAGATTTCCCACTCCAGGAAGGGATGTGCTCTCTAATTCGATAAAAAAAATCAACTTTGAATTTCTATAACGCGGGTTACAGCTCAAACGGTCTGATGGATCTTGGCATATGAGGCATCTTTAGATTTGCGCGAGTGAGGCTGCGTATAATAAAGTTTTATGAAATCAAAATGGCGGGTTTTGACATGATGTATCTCTAGAATAAAATAAAATAGCGGATTTTAAACGCAAACTTTGAGATTTATATTTCACCGCTACAGCCCAAAGAGCTTCATGTAATTTGAAATTTGAGGTGTCCTTAGATTCGTCTTGCTAGCACAATCCACAAATTTATTATGTGATGTCAAAAGAAAATACAAAACAGCGACCAGATGTGAGGCACTGCGGAAATGTTTGATGTGTGATGCGTCAACGCGAGCGCGGTGGCGATTTCCATCATCTAGATGCGATCTTGCTAATCGACCAACTTTCTTTCTTTATCTTCTCAGAGATGAAAACTACAGACTACTCGGCTTCACAAAACATATGCAACCAACAATGCGTGTAGTTGAGCTATTTCTCCATAGATGGACGCTCACTGCGGTTATCGTAGCAAACGTGGAATGAACTATTTGCTTCCTAAAAGGTACATAGTCTGCAAGATTTAGTTGTTTTTGTTTTGGGCATTTTATAGGTTTTCTACATAATACCAAAAAAAACCCACACACTCTACTCGTTTCTTAACCTTATGAGGTATTATTTTACTTCTCAAGGGGAAGCCAAGTAGAGCATATCCCCCCTATGGAGTATTGACTGTAGACACCGTATCTTTTTACCATGAGAAAGCTCCGCTAAGTATCTCGACGTTATTCTGGACAAAGGGATGACTTGGCAGAATCAAATCGATGGGTTAAAGACCAAATTCCATATTACGTTTCGGCAGCTCTACCCATTATTGTGTAAACTTCAAAATCAGGTTTGAATAACAAGATTCGGCTCTATAAGTTGGTTATAAGGCCGGCATGGGTTATTAACACCCCATGGTACGCCTCTAACGAAACCCTCCACAGAGACCTCGATATGCCTTACCTAAGGGTCTATATTAAGCAATAAGCCCAGCGGCGCTATACACAAGCGGAATCGCACTGCAATCCTCTGTTGTGCGAGTCAGTGGACTATACAGCCTCGCAAGCACATAAGGCCGCGATTCGCACTGTAATCAAAATCAATTCGTGAATTTAGAACAACAAAAATTAGAACACTTTGACAGAACCTTACAAAAAAATCAATTTGTGGACTATTTCAAAATTTTTCAAGTGGTTTTAATAATGCCTAAATACGTCTTGTCCTAAAAGATTCTCTTACTCCTTTTTGCCCTCTCCTTTTCCGTCCTTTTTTCCTTAAAGTTGTCTGGTCTCTGGGTTATCAGACCTGACAGACTTACATTACATTATAACACAAGAGCTAATGTCCTACTGACCTCTCTTAACGACCAACGATGACTTTAAAGTAGATTGTCGGTATATCTGTAGTGGTCGCATCCACCATATTTGTAAGTCTAACGACAGACTTCTAGTTGTTAGCACATTAACCATATTTAGCATTAATCCGCGTAACTGCTTCCACCATTTGTTCATATCGCTAACATTGATTAGTGAGATCATTCACCATATTTTTAAATCAACATCGCGCACCCACCACTTTCCAAATCGAGGTTGTAAGTCTAACGACAGACTTCTAGTTGTTAGCACATTCACCATATTTAGCATTATCCGCGTAAGTGCTTCCACCATTTGTTCATATCGCCAACGTTGATTAGTGAGATCATTCACCATATTTTTAAATCAACATTGCACATTCACCACTTTCCAAATCGAGGTTGTGACATTGAGTAAAACCTCACGAGCATCCATCACGTTTTGACGATTGCTGAGGTGAACAGTTCATCAGCAAGTGACATCTATGTATTACTCTGTAACGTTCGCAATAATAAATTGGATGAAAATCTAGTAAAAATTACATGTAGCGCTTTGTTTTGCATGCAAATGTGCTTTTCTAAATAATAGAGTTGTCAGCAAGTACAAAATGAATCTGTAGCATACAAAAAACAAAAAAAAATACAGCTCTGGCGTTGACGGATCCACCAGAATTATGTGTCGACATAGGGAATTTTGTGATATTCTTAGATAATCAACTATTATTGTACCATAATGGATACTCGTAAAAAATACAATATTAGCATCTACTATTTACAAATGTGTTACTCTAAGTGGCTCTTTATCATGCGCCGTTTTCTGAATCTGCTAAACTTACTCTCCACACTCTAAGAATTTCATACACCTGAAAGCGTTGCAAATCACTAAGGTCCATATCGTCAGTCATCCCTACAATTGTAGGGCGCGTTTATGGCCTCCTTAATTGTCATACTCTTTTCTCTCCTTCAAAAATTTCTAGATTACTCTCGTCCCGTGTCAGCGTCAGCGCTCTCCTGTTGTTAAGATATGTTTTCCTTTTAAATTGTAGGAAATTTCAGGCTGATAAATCATGATAAAACTCAAAAGCAAGCACAATTTGATGCAAATAGATGTTTGTGACATAACCTCAAAATAGAGCGCTGACACGGAGAAGTAGAAAACTATGACAATCAAGGAGCCCATAAACGCGCCCTACAATTGTATGGACGACTAACGATACGGGCCTTAGTGTAATAAAAAATACATTGCTTTAATTTTTATTGGTAAAAAATAAATAATATAATTACTACCATATTAAAGGAGTGAGGACCACTGCATGCAGACGGAAGTAGCCCCCGCAAGTCGCAACCCCATCTGGAATGCGAACCTGAGCTTCCCGAACGTTGCCCCCGAGGAATTGGCTGAAAGACAACTGGAGATCGCTCTGTGGGACCTGGTGCCGAGGAACGAGCACGTTTTTCTCGGTGGCTGCACTGTCGATCTGCAGAAGGCTTTTCTGGACGACAGGGCTGTGTGGTGCAGGCTGGACGATTGGCCACCACCCCATATGCAGGGCCGGTCGCCACATACGTCACCAAGAGGGTCCATCGTCAGCGGGGGAATTGATAAAAGAGGAGATTTCGGTGCGTAGGAATTAAAATTATTGAGGTTTATTGAGTTTAATATTGTTAAGTTACGAGTTACAGATAGAAACATCGATTAGTGAATCTTACTATATACTGTTGCTGGCGCCATCTATAGCACAATCGCTGAACACAAAAATAAATTTATAAATCATTCGCTTTAAAAATAATTAGTGTGGATTGGTTCTGCCATTGTCTCATAGGTGGCGCTCTAGGCGCATAGTAACGTTCAATCCGTGACAAACAAGCTGCCACTATACTTACTTAGCTTCGTCTAATAGGCTCACTACGATGTAAAAATGGCCTTATCTATTAAATATTTCAGGAAACCAGAGGAGTGTCAGCGATGACGTGGATTCAATAGGAGAATGCGCCAGTCTTCTACATCCTGATCGGGCTTGGGGCTCGCGAAGAGGCTCATCGCAATCGGAACAACTAGAAACTGAAGTTTACGAATTGGGAAAAGATTTTTCAAGGTCATTGCCAGGATCCAGACGGTCATCTTTCCAATCGATACAAGAGCAACAGGTAAGAAACAGGTTGCTGCCTGCATTCCAGCCTGTAAAATGGCTGTGTATTTAAAACACTTTCTAGTAGTGATGACATTTCTCTTCCATAAAGTACGGTTTCTGTGCTCCTCCTGATCTGTGATTGACGTATCGACGAGTTTCAATGTTCTGTCAATTTGTTGTTCTGTGATTTTGTGAAAAGGTGTTCACGTGATTGTTGTTTCAAGTCTTCAAATTTTCAAATCATTTGTATTATTTTTAAAAACATAATCCAGTACACATGGCGACATATTGCAGTCCTCCTCTTAGTCGTACTGTAATTCAAAAAAGGTGTTTTCTTATAGGAAAAAACCTTAGATACATGTAGATTGAACGTTTTTCGTTCTCTGATTCCAGAACATTATTGGCATTATTGGATTTTTTCTAGATGTTAAAAACTTTATAAATAACTCAAACACCTAAAAGAAGTACTTTGCGGTTCACGAAAAACGTTGTTGTTGTAGTAGGTTAGTTATTGTTTATGAGTGTCACGGTGCTATTCACATATCAAATTGCTTATCTTTGACCCCTTATCGTATGTTTCGTTGGTTGTAAACGTGATTTCCCAATCATTTTCAATTCAAAATTCAGATGCACGCTTAAAGTGTGTTTTTGTGGCAATACGAGAACTCTCAGAATTCAAAATGGAAAGTGAACTGCAACAAACAAAAAATGTGAAAGATGCTTTTGTTGACTTTACTGCAGGGTCTATAGGTAAGTGATATTTTATAGTTTTCATATGGAAAGTACATAGTACATAGACACTAAGAAAAAAATAATAGCTCTTTTTTCAGAAGTAATAAATATGGAATTGATCCTTGAACTCTTAAAATTTCTCTAATCATTTAATTGTAAACTTATTTATTTTATTGTTTTATTTCCAGGGGGGTTAGCACTAGTCTATGTTGGTCAACCTCTCGATACAGTTAAAGTGAAGATGCAGGCTTTTCCCACATTATACAAAAACATGTTCCAATGTTTCATGCAAACATTTAAAACTGATGGTATTGCCAGAGGCTTGTATGCTGGAACAGTTCCTGCGCTAGTTACCAACATCACGGAAAATTCAGTGCTTTTTGTTTGCTACGGCTTTTGTCAGAAGTTTATGCAGAAGGTCACAGGCAGTCGCAGTGTGGATGACCTAAGTATAGTAGCAAATGCCTCAGCTGGATTTCTCGCATCATTCTTTTCGTCTATTGCTATCTGCCCTACTGAATTAATAAAATGTAAATTACAAGCGATGAGGGAAATAGGAAAGCAAAATGGCACAGGCTGTGATAAACTTGGACCATATAGTCTAACATGCAGTATTTTGAAAAATGAAGGTATTAAAGGCATGTTTAGAGGACTTACTCCAACATTGGCAAGAGAAATGCCTGGGTACTTTTTCTTTTTTGGAGGATATGAAGGTAAGTTTGAGGAGGTGCAGTTGTATAGTGAAGATTTCATAATTGCCAGACGTTGCTTATTTTGGAAACTAGTATATTGCCTTTCTATCCAACTTAGCAGGCATTGCAAGTTTATGTAAATATTATTCAATGTCTCAGGTTTTGTTTTTAAGAAAATTTCTTTGGTCAAGCATTGGCATTGAAAGTGGATCATAAACATGGGCGTGAAAGTTTTTGTTCATAGTATCCTTTCTAACAACAATAAGGCATTCTGTAAAATTAGGTAGCATAAACATTGTCAATTGTATCTCCAATGCTCCACTTTCCTTGATCCAATTTTATTGCTTTTGTAACTCACTGTATACAGAAAAGTAAATTTTATCAGAATTTTAGGAACGCGAGAGCTTCTAAGGGGACAAAATGAAAAGAAGGAAGACATTGGTCTTCTAAAACCATGATAGCTGGTGCTGTAGGCGGAATAACTTTCTGGACATCCACATACCCCATAGATGTTACAAAATCTAGGATACAAGTCAACAATATTGAAGAGAATATGGTGGTGCTGACCTTTAAGATATTCAGGTATAATCAATGATTTTCACTGAATGTTTTGGGGATAATACTTACTGTGGCCATGATCTAGAATTTAGTATAGCATAGTAGACATAAATATGGATTCTTTGACACATTTCTATATTGTATGGGAGATACGGAGTCAACCTGCTTGACGAAATCTTTTTGTAATTTCAGGAATGAGGGTATAGGTGCATTATACAATGGGCTGGCGCCTACCTTAATAAGGACGGTACCATCTACCGCGACACTATTTGTCACCTATGAGTATTCAAAAAGGGCCTAAATTACCTAATGAGGGATATTTGATTATGGATAACGTATTATCAATAAATTGTAAATTATTTTGCGATGTATGTACACGCATTTATAAATTGAATAAATTCTTGTTGCGAAATAATCGTGTTTCTTTGCGAAAACGTATTTTACCCGTAAGATTTGTTGACGTAGACATAGAGAATTTAATTTATGTTGCTAAATGTCTTCAAAATACTAAAATCAGGAAACATTCAATTGTTCGGTAAATAGTTAAAATTGTTATGATTAGCGGTTGTGATAACAACTACGTATTGTTACTAATTACAATAACAATTACTTTGTGATAACTTCAATAAGGAATTATCACTCGGCTATTGGAACTTTAAGAATGAAGTAGCCTAAAATCCAATTGAATTGTGGTAGTACTATAGTATGGTGAAGTTATTGGGTCTTGATATAATTTAATAATAATAGACGTCTTTATTTATCCACAATTACATTGAGTATAGCCAAATGTCAGACTTACATGGCGAAGTTTAGCATGCTGCTACTCTTACACTTAACCATGTAGTTTCTAGCAGATGTTCAAAAGAATACACTATCCACAAACAGATTTGGTTCATTACATCGAAAGTAAAATTTAAAAAAGAGGAAAAGGCATACTTTCCAAACCGAAATGCACCAAAAAATTATTAATCTGAATTAAAGATGGAATAAAAAAGAAATGAATGATTACGTAAATTATATGTTTGGAGGGTTGAGTAATAATGTTTTAACTTTTTGACGAAAGACAGGTAATGAAAATTCTTTATATACTTTAGGAAGGTCATTATAAATAATAGCAACATTGTAAGAAAAACTGCGTTTAAAAAGTGTAGACGTATGCAGGGGTATTCTAATATTATTTTCTCTGAGAGTTCTACAGTGAACATCATTATTAAATGAAATTTTTCCTTCAAGTAATAAGCGTTAGACGTGAGCTGCAATTTGTGAACAAAAAATGAATAGTGATACTTGACCATGTCATTAATTTTTAACCAGTTTAGAACGGGATATTTCGCTGATACATGATCAAATTTACGTAAGCGTACATGAATCGTATACAATTGTTTTGAATAACGTTTTTAGTGAAATTGTCTAAACAAGTATAGTATACGATATTACAATAATTTAGTATAGATATGACCAATGCTTCACATAGTTGTTTGCGCAACAAATAATTTTGTTTTTAATGGAACACCTCCAGTCTACCCCATCTCAATTAGGATTACGATTTGGAGTGGCCAGCTCGCTCTCCCGATTTGAGACATTGGGATTTTTAAAATCCCGAGTTTATGTGAATCGTCCAAAGACCATACAAGATTTGAGGACACAATCAGAATCACCATGAAAACCACAGGATAAATTCAATGCTGCTTAACTCCTGTAAAGGTGATCAAGTTGTAGTAGTGGTGGTGGGAAGGCGACCCTTCTTTCCAACCTAGCTGCACCAGCTGATCCAGAAATCGATTCCACTTTGTTAGATCTAAACCAATCGCGTTTGTATACTTTCACATGTTTCACAACTTTGCGTGCCATACTTTTGCGTAAAAACGCTGATTCCTTGACTTCATTTTCTGCATAGGAGGAGAAGCCAGCGGTTCCTCCTCCTCCATCTTACAGCAGGGATAGACGAAGAAGTAGCTGCACCAGAATGTTAAGGGACCCCGAGGAAATTCTGAAATCGCTGAAGCTGTAAAAGGTGAACTAGGTAGAACGATGAGTCTTACTGGAGACAAGAAACATAGGAGTAAGTAATTATTCGATATAAATATGTGTAAATGACAAGGTACTTAGTTTTTACAGTCCTCGAAGAGACCCGTGAAAGACTAGATATTTCGGAGTTTGAGCAGGCCACTGGTTTCTTTGGCAGTGCATTTAAGGCAGTTTATATTGCCTTCTACTTGTAAAGAAGTAGTTTGAGAGTCTGCAACTATAAAATACGCCAAATGTTAAAAATCCTAGAGTTAATCAGAAGTCTGGGAATACCCCTGGCTTTTCGTTAATTTATTAATCAAGAGGCGACAAAAAACAAAGCCCACAGTTTTTAATTAAATCATGTTTTTACTATACAAATACCGGATTGTATTTATTTACGTTCATACGAATCAGTATATGAGGAGTTTGTATGAGTCCCAATGTATAAAACTAGAGCAAACTAGAAATATTTGTCATTTTACACCTTCCAACTTACGAGGGTTGTTTCAGCCACAAGAATTTTTTTATTTGGAAAAGTGAATTAACCATTGGAAGCGTTAATCTTTAAGCTATTTTTCTCCATGGTCGCCATTGTTTTAGACCTGAAATCCACTTATTCGAATGTCAAACAATCCAAATACAACATTGAGTCTAAAAAAATACTTTAAAACTGTCTCCTGAAAAATTCAAATAATGAGACTTACTAGCTGTGACCGATTCAATTATAGAATCCGCTAGTGGTCCCTCTGGAGGTGAGGAATGCAGAGAAAACCCCGAGGTCAGTGATGCTGGAGCTAGCCCTCCGTCAAGTCCCGAACGTACGTCTCCACCTCAACTCGGACCTGGACAGATCAAACCTAAAGGATACCGTTTTTCGACCTCGCAACCTCCCGAAATCAAACTGGGCCTGCTGATGACGAAAGGTAGGTAGGTAGTATCTCATGCAAAGTACTGCACATCCGTGTTGCTTACTTTTCACTCACCCTGTGTCCCTGCTTCTGGAATTGTTCTGCTTTGAACCGCACTTTCCTGTTTGTTCAGCCATAATGTCATAACTATAAAAATACTGGTGTGTTCGTCAAAAAATAGGGATCCTATAAAAAATAAATGGTATGACGTATTGTAATAACTTTTGAATCGCTCTCCGTAGGTACACCGTGGACTAGCTGTATCGAGAAGGTGACGATTACGTGAAATAAAACTAATTTTTATTCCTCCCTTTTAAAAAAAAATGCGTTTTGGAAACCATTTGATTCAGAGGGAGTTGCAGAATAAAAAATTAATGTCTAATAAGTAGCTGAACGAATGTTAGATAAGCTCTTAATATATATTTTTTTTAAAGATGTCATCCCTAGCAACCAGCACGGATTTATCCCTGGACGATCGATAATCACCTACTTTTTCCACTGTCTCAACGATTGGACACAGTCTCCGGATACGAACTCTCCAGTTGAAACCGAAGACTTCTTTTCAAGCTCGAGCATCCTGGATTTAGAGACGATTTGTTGCAGAGGATCGAGGCTTTCCTCACGGGGTGGACTGTTTCTATGCGCGTCGGTGACAGCTAGCTTCACTCTATCGTGTGGCAAGCGGAGTAACCCAAGGCTCAGTCTTGGGTCCAGTGCTTTTCCTTTATATACAAGAGACCTCCACGTGTTCTGCTTATGCAGATTTCACGAAGATTCAGAACACCGTTACAAACTCTGCTCTGCTGCAGCGAGATCTTGACATTGTTCGTCAATGATCAGACAGTTGGCTTCTATCCTCGAACCTATCAAAGTGTTGTGTCTTATACCTTGGAAAAACCAATCCTTGGCTCGTATACAAGATCTCTGATCGCATCATCGAAGCAGTCTGCAGTCATACTGACCTTGGCGTTTATCCTGGTCAGAGCAGATACTCGTACACCTCGTAACAACCAAAGCCAAGAAGCTTCTATACGAGGGTGGTCCCAGAAGTACCCGGCCTGATCTAGAGATGGCGACAGTTGTTTGAAAAATATCATTGTATTAGAAAGTATGCAACTTATCAAGTATATGTGTCAAGTTTGAAGGCGCCACGTTGTTTAGAATTTGTTTGGCAGCCATCAATACTGAACGTTTTCAGTGAATTTATGAAAATTGGTCATCGTTATGTGGTACAATAATTTTATTTCAAAGGCCTCAGCCCAACCAATATAAAAGCTGAACTGGATTCTACTCTGGGTGAGTCTGCTCCTTTGTTTACAACAGTAAAATATTGGGCAGCAGAGTTTAAACGAGGCCGTATGAGTTGCCAAGACGAGCATCGCAGTGGTCGACCAAATGAGGTGACGACTCCAGAAATAGTGAAGAAAATTCACAAAGCGGTTTTTGAATGATCGTCGACTGAAAGTGCGCGGGCTAGCAGACCTTATAGGCATTTCAAAAAGTGCGGTTCATCGCATATTATCTGAAAATTTGGACATGAGAAAGCTGTGTCACAATCGAGCAAAAACAGTGTCGTGAAGATGTTTCAATTGAGTGTTTAGCGAAGTTTCACAGCAACAAAGCAGAATTTTTGCGTCGTTTCCTAACCATGGATGAAACATGGGTCCATCTCTTCACACCCAAGACAAAAGAACAATCAAAACAATGGACTAAAAAGGGACAACCGGCTCCAAAGAAGGCGAAGGCCGGTTCATCTGCAGGCAAGGGTTATGGCGTCGGTTTTTTGGCATGCGCATGGGATAATTTTCATTGACTATCTTGAAAAAGGTAAAACTATCAACGGCGAGTATTATGCGAACTTATTGCAACGTTTGAGCTATGAAATCAAGCAAAAACGGCGGCATTATGTTAAGAAGAAAGTGCTGTTTCATCAAGACAATGCACCAGCTCACAAATCCGTTATTGCAGAGGCCAAAATTAACGAATTAAAGTTTGAATTGCTACCTCATGCACTATTCACCAGATTTAGCCCCCTTGGATTATTTTCCTTTTTCAAATTTGAAATAATCACTCAGTGGTCAAAGATTTTCGAACGATGATAAAGTGGTGTCGGCAGTTAAAGGCTATTTTGAGGAGCAAGACAGTTCTTATTATAAATAGGGTATCGAACTTATTGAACATCGCTGGGAAAAGTGCTTCAAAGGAGATTATGTTGGAAAATAAATACATTTTTAAAAAAAAAAATGTGTTTTTTTCGTTGGGTCGGGTACTTCTGGAACCACCCTCGTACATGATGTGTCTCCCAATCGCATATTCAACACTCACTAGAAAGTGTGATTAATGCTACGTCAGTGAAATTTTCAAAGTGTATTACAGTGGGTGGACTAATGAAACTTTATAGCTTTGAGCTATGACAATACCAAAATTTCCATCGTCAGCGTCAAACCGGCAACAGCGCGACCAGCCATCGACCCACTCAACCTGTGACCGTCAAGCAATACAGACGTTTTATTTTCCCCTAACCGGTACTAACACAAAAAATTGTTTTCAACTTGAACTTCCGATCACGTTTTGTATCATCGATGGCATTAAAAAAATGCGATCCAACTTGCATGCTTGGTATTTCAAAGCTAAATTTATCTAATACAAGTGCGTTCTTGGGATCTGTAAAAATCCGAAAATTTCTTGTGTGCATGAGAACTGTATGCTATGCACTTTATAGTGTTTATTTTGCACTGTTTTTTTTTTCGTTTCAGGTCAGCTGGAGGTGGAAGTGGTATGCGCTCGACGAATCCCGTCTCGCGAAGCTCCTCCCGACACGTACGTAAAGTGCTACCTTAGAGAACAGGACAGATGGCTGCAGAAGAAAAAGACAAGGATCGCGAAACACTCGTACGAACCGCAGTTCCGGCAGACGCTCAAGTACCAAGCGTGCGACATCCTGGGGCGAAGTCTGGTCGTCATGCTGTGGGAGAGACAAGGAGGATTCGAGCACAATCAAGGTTTAGGTTGGTATTATTGACATTCAGTAAAACATAGTAAAATACTTTTTTTCAATAGGGTTATGGCTTTCTTCTTTGCTCCTGACTAAAGTATTGTAGCGTTTTTCTGGGTACTTTTGGGTGTGGATTAAAACTCTGGATTCCACAAAAAGAAATGCACTAATTTATTTAACTTGATAAAACATTTATATGCACCACTATTTATGTCTGACTAATTCTGACTAATTCTTATGTCACCATTTACTGTACTATACTTCACTCCGCTCTGCTACTCTACCGTATTCAGTACTCTACCTCCATCTCCCGGCCGCCGAGTTATATATAGTACCAATTGCCGTCACAAAGCGACATCTAGGATGTTGAAGATCACTTCGCGTCGATCTAGAAGGCGATCCACTGTCACAGTGCTCACAGACGCCGCCAGGCGGCTTGTGCGGCAATGGTTCGCGTAAAAGCAGAGATCGGCAATTAAGCTCTGACGAGTAGGAGACTCGCCCAACAGATGGCGCTATTTGTCACAGTATTGTTGGTTGTCCAGACAGTGTCGCCATACGTAGCGGAATTCCGCTATTTGTAGCGGATTATTTGAGAAGAGCGGCGTAGCGGCGGTAGAGCAAATTAGCCCAAAATGTAGCGGAATTTATTACATACAAAACTATCATATTTATTTCACTGTTTTAACGTTAATAACGGTCTAAATCCTAAATAGGCAGTGGCTAGAGTCTGATTTATTATCACATTAATAATAAAATTGGTGCATTTGGTGCCGCTTGAGCCATCTAGGAACAGAGAAGAGAATTATTCCACTTGCCTTTTTTTTCAATAACAGATGGCGTACGTACTGCTTTCAATACTAATCGTTTCTAACAGGTCTCAGCAGGCAGACATAATATTAGGTTTCTCGCTTTGTATTGTATTTTTCAGCTCTGGGTATATACTGTTTAGTTTCGTTTATATTAGTGTTCTTATTTTTGTGTTGATCATTTTATTGATATATCATTTGCTGCAGATTTAATATTAAATCTACTGGTAAGTAACAAAACTGCTTAAATCTCTAACATATTCTAGTTTGATCCAGAAGTAAATCTTAGTCACGAATTTGTTTTTAACGCTTTTTCTTCTGGAAAATAGGAATAATGGAAAGGCGACAGCAGACCATTAACGATTTTTTTGATAAAAATCCTTCTAAAAAACAAACGGTGAAACCAAACGTGGCCGTACCATCCACTTCGACTGCATCTGTGTCGGACTCGGAGCATCCCGAACCTGAATACAGACAAAATAGAAGAGCGGAATCTAGTGGAATCAGGTCTGAGCCTGATAATTCGACTTGCGAATCTCAGGATAACCAAGGGCCAGAGCAACCTGTTAAGAAAAAGACACGAAAACAAATGTTTACTTCATCATGGCTAGAAGATCCGTTATTTAAAGGCTGGTTGGGACCTATTGAAAATGACAAGTTGAAAGCAAAATGTAAAGCTTGTAATCAAATAATGGGTGCTAAAAAATCAGATTTAGTGAATCATTCGGAATCAAAAAGGCATGCCACTAATGTACAAGCAATTTCGAATGTAAGAACGTTAGATAGCACTTTTCAGTCTCGGGAAGCACGTGAGTTGGAAAAACGGCAAATATTTGCTTGCTTAAGATATAGTCTTTTAGTTGTAAGTCATTATATAAGTTTTAGAACTGTTGATCATATAACAGGAGTTAGTCAATTATGTTTCACAGACCCAGATCTCTCTAGCTCACTTAAATTAAAAAGATCCAAATGCATAAGTATAATTAAAAATGTGCTGGCTCCTGTTATTAAAGACGAAATAATTTCGGAATTGGAAAATAAACCATTTTCTCTTTTATTGGATGAGAGTACAGACCTGAGCAATACAAGACTACTATGCATTCTTGTAAGGTATATTCATAAAAATTCAATTAAAACCCATTTATTAGATATAATTAAAATAAACGCAGATGAAGGTACCGCCAAAGGTTTATATTCTCTTTTTCAAAAATGCGTTATATCCAATCAAGTGAAAATTACCAATATTGTTGGATACTGTTCCGACAACGCTAGTGTTATGATGGGCAATAACGAATCTTTCAAAACTTATCTTTTAAAAAATAATCCTAATATAATTGTCAATGGCTGCATTTGCCACTCTGCTCATTTAGTGGCGGTGGCGGCAGCTGAAAAGATTCCAAGCAACGTTGAAGCTCTTTTACAAAACTTATATTCTTACTTCTCAAGAAGTCCAAAAAGGCAGTGTGTTCTTGAAGAATTACAGGAATATTTCAAAAAGTCAAAATTAAAAATTTTAAGCCCTAGTAAAACAAGGTAGCTTGCTTTATCCAAATGTGTTGATAGAGTTTTGGATCAGTGGGACATCTTGCTTAGCCTATTTAGATTAGCTTCCATTGAAGACAAAAATCCTGTAGCAAATGTAATACTTAATGAGTTACAGAATCCATTTGTTAAGGCGTATTTAATGTTTTTTTAAATTCGTGTTGCCCATTTTTAACCAATTTAATGCTCTCTTTCAATCAGAGAAAGTTATGCTCAATATCAATAGAGAGTGAGCGATTTGTACGTCATCTATGTACAAACTTTATGCGACCAGAATATTTTAAAAATGAGAAATTATATAATCTAAATCCTAATGATCCCCACTGCTTATTACCAATTGAACAAGTGAATGTTGGTCCGCATACAATGGATGCAATAAAACACTGCAATAACACGGCAATCGAACAATTTAAATTAAAATGTGTCACATTTTACCAAAAATCGGTAGAAGAGTCCCTTAAAAGATTTCCTATCAAAGACAACTTCTTTTCAGAGCTAAAGTTTCTCTCACCGGTTGATGTGATGAACAATCGTCTTATTATAAGTGATACATTTCATGACGCCGTTTTAAAAAAATTTGCCCTTCATATTGAAACCGAAAAGGCAATTTTGGAACTAAAGAAAATATGTATTTATTAGTGATAGTGAGAAAGAGGAAATTTTAAAAAGTTCTGTCATTGAATTTTGGTCGTTTGTAAACGACCTCAAAAATTTTAATGACGAATATTTATTTCGTAATATAGGTAAACTGGCTCTAAGTAATTTCTGATTCTGACTGTGAATAAAATAAGCAAACGTAGGCATTTCCACGTTTCCGCTTCTTCTTTGTCCTTATTTTTTGTTTTTTTTTTCTATTAAGATTAAGATATTGGTGATATTTTTTTATTAGTTCCTAATTCTAAACCAAAGACAGTTTTGTTTTTTTAGAAGTATACCTTTTAAGTTTTTACGAAAAATTGCAATTGTATTATGTTACTGTTTGTATTTTTAGTAGGGTTTTTAGACAGTGTTTAAAAAAAAGTAAATATGTAAAAAATATATTTGTTGTTTATTTTAAGCCTCCCCCCCCCTTAAATTTTTAGACCGTAGCGGCATGTAGCGAAATTTTGCGATACGTGTGACGGATATTTTAAACTTCGCTTTGGCAACACTGCGTCCAGATACCAGACAAGGTCAAGGAGAAAGTGCGTCAATTGGAGTGGTTAAGTAATTGGTACCACACCCTTTTTTTTCTTGCTTTTATCATTGACAAATTTTGTCTTAATTTTATAAAGTCGGTGGAAAAATGTACAAGTAACAAAAAACCTGTCAATCGTGTGACAAAGTATTGTGGTATCGTCAGCAAAAATTATGAGATTTCATTTTTGTAGGTGGCGCTGAGGTAGCATTGGATGCTTTGACGTTGACACACCTGACGACCGGTTGGTATCCACTGTTCCCCATTCAATTCTTGGGCTCGGACTCGAATGATTCGCCTTGACAAGGTGACTCTCCGGCAGACTAGCTTGCTAGATGTGTGCTAGTCGCTATGGGACACGTCACAAGACAACATATTTCATTACTGGGAATCCTGCAATTTTAACTCCAAAACGGAGTCTTGAAGGATATCGACATCTGTAGAAAGCGTACGCTTATTATTCGTTAATTTGTACTCCATGTTGTTTTCGAACGCCGCTTCAGTAGATCGTGTGTTTAATCGTACCGTTGTAACTTTGACGCAGTTGAAGGTACTGCCGCAAGCATTCTAGTTCAGACGTCTAGAAGTTGTAGACCATTTGAAAAATCCGTAAAAATTGACAGCCATTTCGGGCCACTACAAAAGAATTTCGATTGATGACTTGTCGACCCAACACCTATATTTATTTTATAGAAAATCAGACAGTTGTGTTGTGGGTTTCTAGGTGTGATTCCTAAAAATGACATAGATTCTTGTAGAAGTATCTTGGACTGTGTTGTAACCCGTATGTGAAAATGCCAAAAATGAACTCCAATGAAAGTATTAGATAACACGGCAGAAATGTTTCCTTCAAGGAAGAAAGTAAAGTGTAGATACAGGGAAAAAGATGAAATTTAAGACAATCATTACAAAAAATCATTTTATAAAAACACTATAATTAAAAGACTATCATTTAAAGTAAGGTGGCCTTAAGGTAATTGTTTGGCCTATTTCAAAGTGTTCCATTAGAAACGCAGGCTTTGAGATCCTTCACTTATATCATTCATACAGGGTGACTTTGAAGTTGAGTCATTAATTTTCAGATAATGATTGTAGAAGGAAGATAAACCAAAATATGTGTGTAAAAATAAAAAAATAAAAAAAAAATGTTACCTTGTTTTATAAAGTATCCTCCCGACAAGTATTTCAGTGCGGACCTGTATTTGATCGTGAGGTCTTGGAGCACCGGCATGCCCTCCTCTGTGAGGTCTAAAGTCACCTGATTCACGAGCCCGTTGTACTACATTAACAAAGGCACGAGGGGTTGGTTGCACTCGATTGGGAAACCGATCCGCATAAACATGTGCCATTTTTTATTTCGTTTGAGCCACGCAGCAAACACCACTATTCACTCACGCGTTACCGACTGACACATTGACTGAATAAAAACATCGTGATCAGCGTTTCAAATTCTTTCGCTTTTTGTTTCCGATGCGATGAACCGATAAGGCGGATTATATCCGTTGTTGCCAAATACGAGCACATAATATTATTATTGAGACAGGGCGGTACTCAAACTTCTAAAGGGCTATAACTTTGTTACTTTAATTTTACCAGAAAAATGTTAAAGGAAAAAACATTTCTTTTGATCAGATCTACTCACTGTTAAAATAAATGACTCAACTTCGAAGTCACCCTGTATATATAGGTTCACTTCACATATATTTTGATTTCTCTTGACGTTTCAGCCACCTCGGTGGCCTTTTTCGAGTACAAATGACAATTAATGACAGTATATTTTTCTTATCTGTCTGTTGTGTGCCAGTTCATTCATTTTGAAGGGAAGAAAATATATATGAACTGTTACCTGGGAACAGATAAACATAAGGCTCTGCTAGATCTAGAGCCATTTTCAAAGTAAATATATATATATTAGTAAATCATCTCGAATATAACTTGGTAGAATGCATTAATCAGTACTATAACTAGCTATATATCAAATATTGTCTGTAGTATTATTCATATTTTTCATACTCCAAAAGGTTGAACCAGAATGGAGAAAGAGCTTTGAGGCAGGTTAAACGAAAACTTAACATGACCTGTGAATATACCCTGTCTTGCATGAGGAGGCTTTTCGGAGTCCGCTTTTATTAGTTCTAAGGGAATTGCTGTGATGCTCCATGGCAACATGGCTGTGACAATTAAAATCGTAGATGAACATCTAAATACAGCATATGGTTGGGTATCTTATACCATGATCAGTGTCACATGTCAAGCTTCCATTCTGTTTGTAGCATTTTTTGGACATGGTAGTGTTTTTCGACTAAAAACAGGCCTGTTAGTAAGACAGGGTATAATAAAAGCTTGAAATGAAACAGCGACTGATAATATTCTTACCTAATACTGATAACTGATGGAAGAACGGCCTATAGATAAAACTGAGGTGTTGTTGACAGGTTGATGCTAACAATTTGGAAGAGGCTTCAGAATAAAGATTGTATTGACAGTTTGAGATGATAAATCGGATGCATAGTTATAAATATAGAGCACAAGGACACAACTAATGAAAAACCTTGCTAGCTATTCATAAGAAAACTTGAATCGTCATCAATATATCCAAGGCAACCCGCAGGAATTTCTGTCAGGGAGGGTCGCTTTTTGTGAAAGTCTACTTGCAGAGTAGGAGGTAGCAAATTTTTCCAGGGGAGCCAAAATTCTCAAAATTGTACACAAAATCCTGCTAATTCAGATTTTCTATCGAAGTTTTCAAGAAAAGTGTAGAGTATACACGTATTATTTTAAAACCCTAGATCAAAACAGTCTTCAGGCAGCAGCAGTGGCCGCAGTGGTAGACGAAATTTTTTTCTTGGCTATGGATGTTGTGATTGTCCGTAGGTGGTAGACGGTACCACCCGGCGGATCTCGTAGGCGGGCCAGAATGTGTGCATGCTGCATGCACACGTGTTCCCTCGCTAGAGTCAGTGTGGCGTCCCCTCCTTTTCCCCTGAATCCCCCTATAGCCCCACGGTATGAGTGTTTAGGCTCTTGGCCTTCGTGGTAACTGGAATATAAAAAAGTCTAACATAGAAACAGGTCTGTACTTAGGAATCACATACGATCATGGTAGGACTGTAAACCGTTTTGGGGTATCATACAGGGTTTTGGCATAAGAAACTCTTCCAATTTTTCATCAACCAGAGTCTCAACCTCTTTTACCTAATGTTAAAATTGCAGTGTTCATTGTAACGACTAGCGTATGTATTTATATTATATCCAAAGTAGTTTGATGTGTGGATCATTTAATCGATTCAAAGATAATAAATATAAAACATGGGCTCTAAGTAATCATAGACATATTGCGTACTATACGTATTCAGACAAATCAGTATATTTAATTGAATATGTAGATATTGGGAGAGCGAATCACCGCTTAGTATCCTTTACAAACATATATATTTTCAGAGGAATATAGAGAGCGACACATATCTCTTCAGACATTTCAATGAGATATTCCGTTTTGCACACGATGTTCGGGATAACAATGGTGCGCCCTGGATATGGCTAAACAAAGAAATGGAAATGCTGACTATACGTCTAGAAGAAAGATCATGTGCTACTTCTTACCAATATTTTTACTTCCCACGCCTAATGTAGAGAATATTGTTATCGCGAAACAATTCCAAAACGATTTTGATGCTATATGACACCTACCATGTCACTCATTTTCATCGATCTGTCCGCAAATCCTTGGCCCGTCTAGTCGTATAACTGCTGAAATTTGGACAAAATTTTTACACCGGGCTGCCACTATGCCAAAGGTGAAGAAACTTTGTAGTTTTTGAAAATCGATCCTGTGGCGACAGTGACAAATGCAAAAAAATAGATAAATAGAGCAACTAATGTTTCTGGCAAAATCTACGTCCTTTTGATGCCATGGAAAATTGTACTAGAAGCTGTTTTGAAGGCGTGGGAAATATAGAGGTAACCTACTTGACGCCATTTTTAAATGCGTCTAAATTTTTAGTTTAGATATTTTCAGTAATGCTCAATCTGTTGCGTTTGAAAGAATTCTAGTACACTTTATATATGAAAGAAACACGGATATGCAAGATATAACAGAAAATGTGAAATTATGGATAATGATTTTAATCGAAGTATGAACTGATTTCCAAGATTGAAGTACAATCAAGAAAGGGTACTCGTAATTTTTTTCACATACTCAGTACCTGCTACATATGACACAAATAGAAAGAAAAGGCAGATACATAGCATAATCGGAATGAGAGGCGGGGCCAAGTCCTTATCGTATCTTCAAAAACAAGTGTTGGCAGCGATTTGAGCTAAATATTATAAGACATATCATGATACAATCATCATCATCAATCAGTCTCTTGTTATCCCTGCCATCCATGTGCAAAACGTGGTAATAGTTTTTACTACTGACAGTAGTTTTATTTCTACTGTTTGAATCTGAAATCAACAAAAATAATATATGTAGTATATGTGTGTATACACAAAAATTGAAACCATATATGTGTATATATGTAGAGTATTTATATTATTTGTTTTAGGGAGGATGAAATTATGTTATAAGGTATTATCATTGCAAAGTGTACCTACATTATTTGTTGATTGTTGGCAATTTTTGATTGCCTGATATACCTGAACGAAGTACAAATGTGTTTGTGAACCTTTTGATTTTATGCACTGTTGACTGAAACTTTGTGTTTTAATATAAAAAATGCAATGCTTTTTAAAAAGATCCCCGTACTTATTTTTTGAACGAGTAAAGTTAGCAAGATGAAATCCGGGAATTGATGCAGAAGCATGCAAACTTGACCCGTCAAAGAAATAAGTAGAGAGGGGCTTTTCTGAAAAGCACAGTATATATGGTGAAATCTTCCAAAGATTATATCAAAATGGACATATTTCCCTTAAGGTGCTAGAGCTCTACAGACATGTCACAAAAATTGTTTTAATGTGTTTATATATTCTAGAACAGATTTTATTACTAAAAATTGTTATCGGTGCGAAATCATTATATAGAATATGGATATGTTGATTTTTAATAGTGTTTATAATGATGATACCTTATGGCACAGTTTTTCCGTAAATTGATAAAATGTTTATTTCATTTATGTGATCTTATATATTTTGAGATGGTGTATGTAGAGAATATTTATTTTGATGAATTTTTGTATCAACTTTAATGTAGATGAATGTTCAATATATTGTAATATACCAAATACAGATTTGAAAAATCAGTTTTGTTTTTTTTTTTCAAAAAATATCTTTTTTATCATATGGCTCACAAACTTTCAAAATCAATGATCTGAAATTTTGTTTGGTGGAATTAGCTTTCTCAGACGAGAGCTTGGACCTTAAATTTGCATATTTGCACGTTATTTGCTCGCAAGGGAGGCTGGGCATGTCCTTGGACTTTAAAATTTGTATATTTAGCATAATTTTGTGAACAGTTTTTAGAATCTGCCCCTTGCGAAAATTTGCTACCCTGCAACCTTCAAAAAGTATTGGGGGCATGTGCACTTTCACAAACACTTGCTAAAGATTGTCCCTCCCGAGTATATGGTAAATGTTGATCCTTAGAGGCCATACATAAACATAAATTAAAAAAAAAAATCATAAAGGTACAGAAAAGCAGTTTGGAGTCCAGAATTTTATACTTCAATATGTGGTGTCTATTAAATAGTACGACAAAAAAATGGAGAAGATAGGCGAAAGGCAGATCTACAACATACCAAAAAGTCACCCTAGTAAAAGTTTCACTGTCTTTGAGATATTAATTTTTTTTGTCATTTTCGAAAAATTTCCTCGTTTGATCAACCTTTTGTTGCTGATTAAGCAGGTAATTTATCGCAGTACTTTGAAGTAGCAGTCTAGTACATTTTTATTTCATTGCTGAATACCAAAGTTGAAAAAAATAGTTTTCTAAAATAAAAATTACAAAGAAGAAATTACCTACTTGTATTTATCAAAAATTATATGTATTTCAAATGGCAACTATCTGAGAATATTGTTGAAAAAAAAATCAACCAGAAATCATGTTATTTATAGGCACAGCAACAAGATTAAAAAACAGAGACAAAAAAATTAATACCTTAAAAACAGTGAAGCTTTTACTATATATTTATGAGGAATATGTTAATCAACATGTTTCCATGTATATGGACGAATGACAAAATTAAAACAACACTACTAAGAAGAATATATTTATTGGAATCAGGTGGTGCTCAAAAAATGTTCAGTTGAGTCACAAATACATTAACGAACTTAAATCTACTTCTTCTTGGACACACCAACAGTACGTCCTCTCCTGCCGGTGGTCTTGGTGTGCTGGCCCCTCACCCTCAGGCCCCAGTAGTGCCTCATGCCTCTGTGGGCGCGGATCTTCTTCAGCCTCTCCAAATCTTCACGGAGCTTGGAGTCCAGAGTAGAGGAGGTCAACTGGCTGTATTTACCATCGATAATGTCCTTCTGTCTGTTCAGGAACCAGTCGGGGATCTTGTACTGTCTTGGGTTGGACATAATCGTGATGATTTTTTCGACTTCCTCATCGGTACATTCACCAGCTCGCTTATCGAGATCAACATCGGCCTTTTTGAGTACAATGTTTGAGTAACGTCTACCTACACCTTTGATTGCTGTGAGGGCAAACATCACCTTCCGTTTTCCATCGATGTTAGTTCCGAGGATACGCAGAATATGCTGGAACTTCTCCGGGATCACGAGAGACATTTTGGCTTGAACTTTCGACGTATAATGACCAAAATATTAAATATTTTTGAGGCCTAACACGTGGTAACAACCAACTTCAACTTTAGAAGCAGCAAAAAGGAGGTTAAGTTTTAACACAGAACACTTCGAGGGAACCTGAGATTACAAAACACTGAGACTTTTTAGAACTTAGAACCTTCAAGAAATGCCATTTTTTGATGTTTGATGGCAGTTTGACGTGGACTTCGCCAATCAGCAAATCAACGGCTTATCACATGATCATCAAGGTCACGCCCTATTTTTGCTACCTTTACTTTACACATACGACATCTACTAGACGAAAATTAAACTATATGATTGATATTAGTACAGATATCTAGATCTGTAGCCTTAACTTTTTCCGGTAGATCGTCCATATTATAATTAAGATTGTACCCAGAGGATGCTTTTGTCCAAGAGATGGCGCAGCCAGCAGATACTCGTAATAAACACGATGCGTACTCGAAGTGAGTTTGGCGATGTTGCCAAATCAATTGAAATTTTTGAAATTGAGTGATTTATTGTAAAGATAAACTTTCTAAGCCTAAAAGCTGTAGCGTTAGCACAAGTGGAGACGAACATAGCCCTGTATCTCGATTGAGCTGTAAAGGAACTTGAAGGTCACCAATGCTAATGTATCCCAGAAGAAATTCCGCTTAAGTTGTATGGAACATATGCCATTTTTTTAGTCGTGAGAAAAGTTGATATTTGAAATTTAATTTCTCAGCATTGATAGATTCATATAGCATCGATACAGACTCTCAACTTGTTGAGAAAGTAGGCTATGTGCAAGAAGTTCATCGCGCGCTTGCTATAGTTGTAGTGACCGTTCTTGGCTTTATACTATATATCTCCATCTGCCTCATACGTATACAAGCAACCTACCCCTGTGTGTGAACGTTTGTTCGTTAAGCTCAAAGACATACGCTTTTTAGTTGTGTGTTCCGTCTCGAAAACTTTATCGTTACGTAAGAATGCCCTTCAATCATATTCTTCAGAATGACAACCTACTTGATATCGGCGTGCAATATAAAATTGAAAAATGTCCGGAAATACGATGAATGGAGAAACCAACAGCTCGTGATAAATTTATCAGAATATTTCCAGGAAGAGAATGAACACAGCGGTCCCCTGTTACCCACTTCCTGCGTACTACAATTCTATAAAATTTGCTTGGCAACACTGTGTAAAAATACTAGTTGCTTCGAGTACATATCGAATATATGAAATCCTGGACTTTGCTTGCAGTTTCAAATTTTTCGTCTAACCTCGCTTTTACAAAAGTGTGTTGAAAAAGTGGTAAACTTTAAACCGAAATGTGTATTTTCTAGTGTTGTTTCCTCAAATTAGATTTTAAAGTTTTTCATACATTTGTTAGTGAAAATGGATGCTTTCGACATTTTCAAAAAACTTACAAAAGGCGTAACGTTTTCAAGGAAGCATAATCCAAGAGAAAAAAAGGTAAAGTACTTTATACAGATTAATGTATGGGGCACACCCAAATATTATTTTACTGTTCATGTGACTATTATTTTAATAGGAGGACCAAAAAACAGATTCCGATGTAAATGAGATAAAAATTGAGAATGTTAAAAGTGAAGATGAACGTGTAGAAAATGTAATCTCAGAAGAAAATCAAATTACACTTTTGTCTGGTTTACAAGGACAGAGAAAGGAGGGAAAAAGCGAAAAAGGGATGATGAGCAAAATGAAGTAAAAAAGAGGATGCTAGAGAAAGAAAAGGTAGGCTAACCTTCACATACATATAGGGTTTACTCAGAAAACCAGCAATATTTATAGGAAAGTACATCAACAATGATAAAAAAGTTCTCATATATATAGGTTATAAAATGTACCATGACACAGGGTGTTGTAATAACACTATGGCATGTTAGGATTAGTTTCCTTAACACACTTTAAGACTCAGGTCTAAATGAACTATTCTATTTACCCCACAGAAATATTGCCGCCTTGTTCTGAAACATGTTTAAGTACAAAGCATGATATATTAATATAAAGTTGTACGAACCCTCACAATGAACTTTAGGTGATTTTAGCTGTTAGTGTCTCCCAGATCTGACAAACCTATTGAAAATTTGTTCAATAATTATTACTATGTATTTCAGATAAATCATTATAGGAATAAAAACAATATATCAGTGGTAGGAAGACATGTACCAGAACCTTCAAAGACATTTTATGATTTCAAAGTTGATCCTGATATAATTGAGAATCTTCAGAAGTGCAATTTTGAAGAACCAACTCCAATTCAGAAGCAAGCAGTACCTTTGATGCTAGAGGTAATTATTAACCCTTTGAACATGGTTTTTCTGGGATAGAATTTTGTATTATAACGAACAACCAGCTACTATTATTGTGTTTTCCACTCAAATCTATTGTATCTTACATATTTTCTTATTCTCAGGGAAGACAAATCTTAGCTTGTGCTCCTACAGGTTCTGGAAAGACAGCTGCTTTTTTTGGTACCAATTATAATGCACCTAAAGGGTCCAGAACGTAAAGGATTCAGGGCTTTGATTCTTTGTCCCACAAGGGAGTTGGCAAAACAGACTCAAAGAGAATGTGTCAGGTTATCTGAAGGAAGAGGCTTGAGAATTCATATTATAAGCAAAATTAAAAAAGCTCTGACTCAGTATGGATCTACGAGCTCTCAAAAGTTTGGTAAGAAATATTTTTTGTCTTTATGCATTATCATAGGCTTTCATTTTCTGTATATGAACGATAAATAAATACTTTTTGTCTACTTTTACCTTTGATGTGGCATGTGTCAACACCATCTTTATAAAATTCATTTTTTGTGAAGAGCTAATTTGGTTATTTTTTCCAGATATTCTAATAACAACTCCCAATAGGTTGTGTTATTTATTGAAGCAGGATCCACCAGCAGTTTCTCTGAAAAAGTAAGCGCTCTTACTGAGGCATCCTTTTTCACTTATATCTTATTGATTTAATTTTAGCATTGAGTGGCTAGTGATAGACGAAGCTGATAAATTGTTTGAAACAGGCAGTAGAGGATTTAGAGAGCAACTAGATGAAATTTTGAAGGCTTGTGACGGGAATGATAGAAAAATAGCAATGTTCAGTGCCACATATACCCCAGTGGTTGCAAAGTGGTGTGTGCATAACATGAAAGGACTTGTCAGAGTTACCGTTGGTCAAAGGTAACTTTACTAAGAATTTCATGTTTATTTATGTATTTGGAAAAGATCCCATATAGTACAAAAAAAGTTCCTTAACACTAAATCTAAATGTAAAATGAATATTAATGAAATAAAGAGTACAAAACGGTGAAAGACAGTGTCAAGTGTTTATGAATATTTTATTCTTTCTTTAAAGATTTCACAGGCTTTTAATAAAATACTATCAATGTGTCTTAAAGCTAAGATTGCAGCTGAAGATCACTGTTTAAGTCATCAAAATGGTGTACTACTTCTACATTGTTAATTGAATAAAACAAATATAGGGAGGTTCTAAATAATATTAATAAGTCTAAGACATGTTTGCTCAAATATTGGCCTCTGTTGAAGATTTATTTAGCATTAATGCATTTTTGCATAATTATTCGTGTACACATTTTATGAATCAATTTTCTGTATATTCTTGTCTATTAAAATTACATCTATGCATTTTGAATATTCATAAAATGATTTTTGTAACTTTTCAGAAATGCTGCCACCGATTTAGTTGATCAGGAGTTGCTGTTTGTTGGCAATGAACAAGGAAAATTATTGGCATTCCGGGATATAGTAAGGCAAGGGTTAAGCCCTCCAGTACTTATTTTTGTTCAGAGTAAGGAGAGAGCTCAGCAGTTGTTCAATGAGTTAATCTATGATGGAATCAATGTGGATGCCATACATGCAGATAGAACCCAACTTCAGGTAAGAATCAAAATTGACTCAAAGGTTAATCAACAATTCCATCATTGATTTGGTGGGAAGTTGTTTTGACTAGAAAGCTTAAAATGTTTTTGCATTGTAGAGTAGGTTTGTGCATGTACTATTAATTTTTCCTTACTTTTCACGGCTACTGGGGAAAATAGGTATTATGTTTTTTGAATATTATATGACTTGTACATCATGAAAAAGTATAGCACTCATTTCCATCAAACTGTCTGTCCGCTAACCTGGAAAGTACTGCTCGGATTTTGATGAAATTTTTACTACTATACCAAGGACGAAAAGGCTTTGTACTTTTTTGAAAACTGGCTCAGTGGCGGCGGATGAGAAAGCCAAAAACGCAAAAAATAAAAATCGCTCAAGCTTCGTTTTTATAGGCTTTGAAAATTGTTTTGTAGGTGTTAAAAATTGGGGGTTGCAGATTACAGGAGGTGGGGAGGGTATATCTCAATTGTTTTACGTTGGTATATTTAGTAATTCTAGGCACCTGTTAGATATATTTCAGTCATCATTGACGTCCCCGTATATTATTTACCCATGAAGCTTAGAAATATCTCCAACAGTCGCGTATCGATACGTGCACCGTGGTCGGGCTGATGGTCGTAGTTGGCAGTAACTTCCGTGCTGTATTCTGCGAAAGTAAATATCTCAGAGGGAGGGGGAGAGTCATTTAACTTTTTGTTATACATGTTCAAAGTCAACTTTTTGTCAGCAGAGCCAAACATAATCCTTTACGAACTGATGACAGCATTAACGTGGTAACAGAGTAAACTTGACGCATTTTTTTAATTTCAGAGAGACAATACTGTTAAAGCCTTCCGTGAAGGCCGGATATGGGTTTTGATCTGTACGGAACTGATGGCGCGCGGCGTTGACTTTAAAGGCGTTAATTTGGTGATAAATTATGATTTTCCACCATCTGCCATCTCTTATGTTCATAGAGTTGGCAGGGCAGGGAGAGCCGGAAGAAAAGGAAAAGCTATCACATTTTTACTATTGATGATACAGTCAACTTGAGGAGGTAAGATATTCCCACCATCTATCATCAGAATCAACCTCTGCATAGTGAACGGCAGCTATCTCTTAGAATTATACAAGTATCTCAGTTGGCATTGAAAGCGGAGTCTCCACACTGTGACCGCTTCATGCCGTCGATTCTGGCGAAATAGAAGATTCACTCTTGCAGTGTTAGATTCTGGTAATAGATGGCACATATGCGATCATATAGACCTTGTTCCTTCAATAGAGAGGTTTTGTTCGTTGTCCTAGATAAACGCCAACACCGTGCTACTGATGGCCAATAAGCATGAAACAAATGTAAGTGGTTGGCACTTTCTTGTTAATGCATCAAAAAATCTGGGAAAAAGTTCTCATTCCAAAAAACACGTCCATATCTATGTGAGAAAAATTTTCTTAGGGTGGTTTTTTGAAATTGTTTGTTCTATAGACCATAGACCCGATTATTCTGGGAAAAGTCTT